GACTTCCTAGGGGAGGCCTTACCCTCTCTGAGGAGCAGATGGGAGGGGGTGGAGTGGGGGAATCAGGAGGAGAGGAGGGAGGAGGAACTGGAAGTAGAATGTAAAAACTAAATTTAAAAAATCTTTTGAGACAAAAAAATAAATAAAAAATCTTCAAAAAAACACCCCACATGTCTCTCTCTCTCTCTCTCTCTCTCTCTCTCTCTCTCACACACACACACACACACACACACACACACACACACAAACACACACACACACGTATGCACACAAGTGCTTTATGGCAAGTAGTTGCTGAAGGCTTTTTAAGCTGGGACTTTGGATAACAGCCCAGTTTCTGCCCACCCATATTGCTGACTGGCTGAAGCTGGAAGAAGGAACTGGACATTTAACATAAAGTCAAACGCCTTAGATAAAGCTGCCTTGCTTCAGGAGACTACAGTGCAGAAGGGGGACCTGGGGTGCTATAGACACATAAAACCAGCCAGTCCTATTGTCCACTCTCCGATGGGTCTCAAACAGCTTCACCAGCCTGCTGGCCCAGGAAGAAATTCCTCTAAACACAGATTGTCTAGAGTCGGGGGGTAACGGAGGGAGGAAGGAATTCATCTCTCTCTTTTATTAACTTTATTTATTTATATATATGGGTGTTTTATCTGCACATATGTCTGTGTATCACAGGCATTCCTGGTACCAAGGAGGCCAGAGGGCATCAGTCCTGGGGCTGAAGTTACCAATGGTTGTAAGCCTCCATGTACGTGGGTGCTGGAAATTGAACCAGTGTTCCCAATCGCTGAGCCATCTCTTTTTTGAGGCAGGGTCTCACCTCTCCCGGGTAAGCCTCCAGCTTGTAGTTGAGGGTGACCTTGAACCTGAGCTTTCCACCTCTAGTTCCCAAGTACCAGAATACAGGCTGGAGCTGCTACACCTGGCTGTGAAGTCCTGTTTTCTGTGTCATTGGTTTGGAAACCAGGGCAAATGTCTTCTTGCCTGAGGCCCTGGCATGAATCAGCACAGGCTTTTGATTTTTGATGCTTTTGACTCAGAGTCTCATGAGCTTCTCACGTGACAGGGAAGTGTTGTATAACAAAAGAATGGCTTTCCACTTCCAGCTTCGTAATCCCCAGCAATGGGACTCCTGTGTTTCCCAGAGTCCCTATTCTTTATGTTTATTTTTAATCTTTAGTTTTTTGTGTATGAGTGAGTGTGTTGCCTGTGGGTATGTCTGCACATGCTTGGTGCCCCTAGAGGCCAGAAGAAAATGTCAGGTCCCCTGGAATTGCAGCTAATAGATGTTTGTGAACCATCTGGGAATCGAACCCAGGTCCTCTAGAAGAATAGCTGGTGCTGAGCCTTCTCCCCAGGCCAAAGCCCTGACTCACACCTACTGCTATATAAATCAGATGTGATGGCATATGCCTGCCATTCCAGCCCCTGGAACAATCAGAAGTTAAAGTATTCCTCAGCAGCAGGGAGTTCGAGGAGAGCTTGGGGTATATGAAATACTCTTTGTTTGTTTGTTTGTTTGTTTGTTTTTCGAAACAGGGTTTCTTTGTGTAGCTTTGGAGCCTATCCTGGCACTCTCTCTGGAGACCAGGCTGGCCTCAAACTCACAGAGATCCGCCTGCCTCTGCCTCCCAAGTGCTGGGATTAAAGGGGTGCACCACCAACTGACAAAATACTCTTTCAAAACAAACAAAAGGGGTTGAGGAGTTGGGGTTGGCTCAGGCAGCAGTCAGCAAAGTGCTTGCCTGTGTAAGGACATCGCCCTCCTTCCTCAGCTCCAGGCATTGTGATGCATTCTAATCCCATAGTTGGGGAGGCAGAAGCAATTTAGACTAATTGATGAGTGTCAGGCCAATGAGAGACCTTGTCTCAAAGGAGGGGTGGATAGTTTTCCTAAGCATGACATGGTAAATTGCACACACACACACACACACAGAGAGAGAGAGAGAGAGAGAGAGAGAGAGAGAAAGAGAGAGAGAGAGAGAGCGAGAGAGAGAGAGAGAGAGATGAGTCCAAAACATGAAGAGGCATTTGCTGGAACATGGGGCTGAGCAGGTGAGCAGGTGACTTGATGTTCAGCAGCAGGGAATAACTACACAGATCATTAGTTATACGTTTGGTCTGAGCAGCTCTCAAGAGCCGGGCCTGTGTCTCACAGGTTGGGGCCTGTAGGACTGTGTCTCACAGGTTGGGGCCTGTAGACACTCTGGCTAGGAAGAACTGGCAGAGGAGTCATTCATTCAGACTGATCTTCCTTCTCCTTGCCACAAACACCTCTGGGCATCTGTCTCTTTTATCATTTATGTAATGTGTTCTCTGCCCTCTATCTTTTCTTTACCTGGGCAACAAATGCAACCTTGATTCCCAACTGTTCTGCCCTTTACCCAGTTCCATGGTGACTCTTATTTTCCTGAACCCAATACAAATTTAAAAACTCTCTGGCTTCAGTTGCTGTAGAGACTCGAATTTTCTCCATAAAGATTAGAAAAAGCCCTTAGGGTGGCCTGCTAGAACAATCTACAAAAACATAAAATGGGTCTGAGTTCAGAAAAACACCCAAATGATTCCTGGGGTCATAGTCTAGATTCTATGGGAAACACTTTTTTTTTCCTTTGTTTTTTCAAAACAGGGTTTCTCTGTGGCTTTGGAGGCTGTCCTGATACTTGCTCTTGTAATCCAGGCTGGTCTCGAACTCACAGAGATCCACCTGCCTCTGCCTCTGCCTCCTGAGTGCTGGGATTAAAGGTGTGTGCCACCACCACCCTACAAAACACTTCTTTCAAATTTATCCTGGTGGTGCGTGTCTCAGTACTTGGAGTCTGAGGCACGAGGATCACCTCAAGTTCAAGGCTAGGCAGGGCTAGGGTGAATCCCTGGCTCAAAAACTAATACTGGATTTAGTGGTGTGGTTCTACTCACCATTAGTCACAGCACTTGGGAAACAGAGGAAGTCAGAGTTTAAGGTCAACCTGGTCTACATAATGAGTTCAGGCCAGCCAGGGCCACAGAGTGAGACTTGTCTCAAAAAACCATAAAAACAAAGCAAAACAAAACAAAAACAAAAACAAAAAAAAAAAACAGCACTGGAATTATAGGCATGGCCTAATGTTTTTGCTTGGGTTTTCATTATTGTTTTTGTTTGGTTTGGTTTGTTTGTTTGTTTTTCCTAAGGGTTGTGATAACAGGTGTGCACTGCCTGGCTGACACTTAGTTTCAACATGATTAGCACTGGGGACTCTGCCACCACTAGCCCCAAGTAGTAAGGAATTTGGGAACCCCAGATTTCCTTCCCATTTTCAGAGTCTATTTTGTCCCCTATCCACTCCCAGGGAACAAAACTGTAACACTACCACCATCTTCAGGCTCTCTTTGGAGGTCAGGGAAAGATTGGGGACCTCTGGTCATAGACTGTAGAATTAGTGCTCTAAGATGGCATTAGGGATGAGTTAGCCTGAGCACATACTACTGAAAACTAGGGAGCCAGAAGTCAGAATTTTGGTGTCTAAAGAATGGACTCAGCACTCTGTGAGGATATGTTTATTTGGGGACCAAACTTAGAGAAGTGGCCCAGGTAGGAGACAGAACCCAAGTGTAGAGATGGTGAGTTTGGGGCACCTTGTGTGTGTCCCTTGAGTTGTTGTGGGTCTCAGGCTGAGGGAGTGAAGCTCTTAGTGAGATAGGGTGTAGGTGTCTTAGTTACTTTCCTACTGCTCTGATGAAACTCCATAATTAAAGCTTCTTGGGAAGGAAAGGGTTTATTTGGCTTACATATCCTGAATTACAGTCCATTGAGAGACATCAAGGCAGGAATTCAAACAGGGCAGGGACCTGGAGGCAGTAGCTGATCCAGACACCAAGGAAGTGTTACCGGCTGTTACCGGCACCCATGGTTTGTTTGTTCAGCCTGCTTGCTCACAGAACCCAGGACCACCAGTCCAAGGATGGCACACTCTTCATGGCTGAGCCCTCCCACATCAATCACTAATTAAGAAACTGTCCTACAGGTTTGCCTACAGCCATCTAATAGAGGCATTTTCCTTTTTTTTTTAAGATTTTATTTATTTATTATGTATACAACATTCTGGGCCATCTAATGGAGGCATTTTCCTTTTTTTTTTTTTTTAAGATTTTATTTATTTATTATGTATACAACATTCTGCTGCCATGTATATCTGCACATCAGAAGAGGGCACCAGATCTCATAGCGGATGGTTGTGAGCCACCATCTGGTTGCTCTCTCCAGCCCTGGAGGCATTTTCTTAGTTGAGGTTCCCATGTCTCAGATGACTCTAGCTTGTGTCCTCGTGAGTTGAGTTGGCATAAAACTGGCCAGGACAGAAAGGTATGAAGGCTGCTTAGGGAAAGAGTTTATTTTGGAGGTAGGAGAGTCACCAGGGATTTGCAATGGCCTGAAATTGAGGACTGGACTTTGAGGGTGATGGAGTCTTGGGAAGACTGGAGGGCTTTGCCAAGTCTGGGTGCTGGAGTCTAAGCCATCCAAAGCCCTGAACCCTGCGGTTGCATGGAGGGGTTGGAAAAGAGACGGGTAGGTGTCCCTGACTAGCCAGGCCTTGTCTCCAGAATCTCTCAAGTATGCGGGCATGTCTGGGTCCCCTGTGGGCAAGGGTGAGGAATGCCGGATTTGGACTGAGGGAGGGCGCTGTCTGCGCTGGTCCTGAGTGGGAGGAGGGTCCGTGAATGTTGCTGGGGAGGGAGGGGGTGAAAGCGAGGAGGGAGTGGGCGACCTCTAATGAGTTGTGCGGGTTGCCAGGCCTGCGCAGGGCCCTGGTGCGGGGGCGTCGGGGAACAACGCGGTGTCCCTGAGGAGTTGGGAGGGGACCCGGGGGTCTGTGAGGTCCGGGATCTTAAGTCCCCGGATCTTTGAGGAGTTGTGCGGGAGTGAGTGGGGGGTTGGGAGGAGGACAAGGGCTCTGCGTCCCAGGGTGTTGAGGTCCGTGAGTCCCCCGGGTCTATGCGACGCCGGCTC